AAACAGCCAATTGGAAAACGTTGAAACTGATCCTGCAGTAGTTAACGAAATTATTTCAAAATACCACATCTCTCCTGAAGATGTTTTTACGAAGCTCTCCAACCTCAAACGCACTAAAGCCTCTGGTCCTGACAACTTACCAAGTTGGGTCTTAAACGAGTTTGCCATGGAACTCTCATCACCTGTTGCTGAAATTTTTAACGCGTCAATCCAAGAGAGAGTCGTACCCGTTTCATGGAAAGTAGCAGATGTAATACCTATTCGTAAAACAGATAAGGTTAAGGAAATTGAAAATGATCTACGCCCAATATCTCTAACACCAATTCTCTCAAAAACCTTGGAACATTTTGTCGCAGAGTGGATTATGTCACAGATCAGACACCTCGTTGACAGGAAACAATTCGGATCACTCGCCGGCTTATCTACAACTCACGCTTTTCTATCCTTTTTTCATCATCTGTATGGAACTACCGACCAATCTGACCAATGCGTATGTGTGCTGTTTCTGGATTTTAGTAAAGCCTTCGACAAGATTGATCACCATATTCTTATCAAGAAGATGGAGGAAATGGCCATCGATCCCGTTCTTATTGCATGGGTAAAACAGTTTCTTACTGGCAGGAAACAGCGAGTGAAGATAGGTAAATACACCTCATGTTTCGAACCAGTGAACGGTGGGGTTCCACAAGGCACTGTCTTAGGTCCGATTCTATTTATGATTATGATAAACGATTTGTTGGTTGATTGGAACGATAGATGGAAATATGTTGACAATTCGTCTGTTTCAGAAACCCTTTCTAGAAACCAAGATTCGACTTTCAAACTATTTTAGAAGGAATTACGCAGTGGTGTGCAAGAAATAACATGTCCTTAAACCCCCGTAAATGCAAAGAAATCCTCGTTTGTTTTTGGAAAAACAATCCAAATTTCCCTCCAATGATCGTTGACGAACAGCCCATTGAAGTTGTAAAATCCGCTAAACTCCTTGGCTTAATTTTCAAGGACGACCTAAAGTGGAATGACCACGTGGCTTACACAGTGAAAAAATCCGCAAAACGCCTTTACATGCTTAGACTCCTCAAGCGAGCTCGTTGTGACACTAAAACATTGATATCAGTGTATTTTTCAAGTGTAAGACCCATCTTGGAGTATTGCGCCCAAGTTTGGCATTATAACATACCTGAATACCTATCCAAAGAAATAGAAAGGATCCAGTCAAGAGCGTTGAAAATAATTAACCCATCGTCATCATACAAAGAATCCTTATCAGATCTCAATATCCCAACATTGTATTCTAGGCGCGAACTGTTATGTTCAACATTTTTTAGGAAAAAGGTTCTTCCGCAAACTAGTCCTCTTTCCGAACTAGTTGAACCAGCCGAACATCCAAGCTATACAATCTACGCACATCGAATAAACTCGTTCCAAAAAATTGTCGGACAAATCGCTTGAAAAATTCATACATTCCCTCGTCTGTAACGATTTATAATAAACACTGAGTAACTATAAATTACATACATTTTTATTTGTAAATATTATGGTAATATCATACTAGAAGTTCTAATCTCTTCCTATATTATAGTAAATATGTTTTTGTAAATATACAATATTTTTCTAATCAACCAACCCTGTAAATGATAGATGTATTTCAACCTTCATGGTTGCAAAGTCTATATTTTATTAATAAATTCAAATTCAAATTCAAGTGTTTCCAGTGTCTTACAGCTTCAATAATAGCTTGTGCTTCCTTTTCTACTGATGCATATTTGATCTCACTGCTCTGCAGGGTTCGCGAGAAGAAAGCAACAGGTCTTCCGTTCTGCTTAAGAGTGGCTGCTAACGCTACATCGGATGCATCTGTCTCGACCTCAAATGGAATGCTATCATCAATAGCAGCAACAACAGCTTCTTCCATCGTCTTCTTGAGACTCTCAAATGCTTGAAAAGCTTGCTGTGACAGTGGGAATAACTTGCAATTAGTAATTGGCTTGATTCGGTCAGAGTACTCGGGGATCCACTGTGGGTGGTCGCGTAAAGGGGTGGTCGCGTAAAGGTCGTAGACGTTCAGGATCGGGAAGGCTGTTGCCTTCTTCAATTAAATAACCAAGGAGAGGGAGACATCTCGTTGAGAAAATGCTCTTGTCATCATTGTAACAGACATTCTTGCACTTTGCAGCTTCAAGGAATCTTTCCAGATTTTCATCATGGTCTTCTTGGTCTTTGCCACATATGGTTATGTTGTCAAGGTAGGGGAAAACTCCATTAAGGGCGTGCTGCTCGACCAACTTAACCATTTCCCTTTGGAAACAGGCCACTCCATTGGTGACACCAAAGGGCAACCGGGTGAACTGATAAAGACCATTGCGAGCTTCGAAGGCAGTATAAGGTTTGTCTTCGTCTTTGAGTGGCAGTTGGTGGTAGGCACTCCGGAGATCAATGGTGCTGAACACCCGATACTTGGCAATTTCATTGACCATTTCACTTTTATATGTAGTGGGGAAGCATCAAGAAGGGTAAAACGATTAATGGTTTGGGAGTAGTCTATGGCAAGCCTTTTCTTATGGTTCTCATCCTTTGTTACTACGACTTGAGCTCACCAAGGTGATTGACTGGGTTCTATGATACCTTCTTCGAGAAGCCTTGTTACTTCTTTATCAATAAACTCGGTATCTTCTTGACTATATCGTCTGGACTTTGTTGCGATTGGGTGGCAGTCTGACGTTAGGTTTGCGAATGGTTCAGGTGGCTCCACGTTAAGTTTGCTGAAACTACTTACTGACAAAGGTGGTTTTGATCCTCCATTCTGGAAGATAACGCTCTCATGTTGTGACTGAAAGTCGAGACCCAAAATCAGATCAGCACAAAGTCCTGGTAGAACAGATAAACTGAGATCTTTATAAATTTGTTCTTCATAGACGAGATCGACACTGCAGGTTCCACATATTTTAACTGATGATGCAAGTGTTGCCATAGAGACGGTACTAGATGAGGGCCGGACTGTTAGAGCAGCTTCTGTTACAATACTGGGGTGGATGAAGCTTTCACTACTGCCGCTGTCAAAGAGGGCCTTTACCTGCAACCCGTTGATGCAAACAGTGGCTGATGCCTTGAAGGGGATGTTGGTATCGTTGGAACCGTTGCTAGACTTGGTGACCAGACAGCAGCCGAAATTCTACCTCTGGGATTGGCAGGTTTGCCTCGACACACCTTCGCAAAGTGGCCTTTCTTCTGACATTTCAAACAAGTAACATCACGAGCGGGACACTTCGAACGGGGATGTCTGGCATTCCCACAGAAGAAACAGGAGTTTTCCACCTCCATTGCAGCTACGGTTCTGGATTCTGGTAGTTCCGTTGGGCTATGTGATATATCAGAATAGGTAGGTACTGCTGCATTTACAGACGGTTGAGTGACAGTGTAGGTTTCAGAGCTTCGCATAGCCAATTCAAGTGCAGGAGCTTGGTCAAATGCTGTTTTGAGATCAAGGGTTTTGTTCTCTAACAGTCGCTGGCGGATATGGCTAGACTGCAGTCCGGTAATGAATGCATCTCTAATACTCTCTTCACAGTACAGAGCAGCTGTCACGTCCTTGAAATTGCAATCTTTACTTAAAGTTTTCAAAGCTTGAAGGTACTCATCTAGTGTTTCACTCGGTTGTTGACGCCTTGTAGCTAGAACATGTCGGGCAAAAATCTCATTTTTGGGTTTGATAAAAAGAGATTCCAATATCTCCATGGCAGCATCATAGTCTGTACTATCTTCAATGTGTAGGAAGATTGTAGGAGATACAAAGTTGGCTAAAACTGATAGTTTGTCGAGGTTTTCTTGAGGTAGGACTGACAAAATGTTCACGAAGGTTCGCTTCCAGTGAAGCCATTCTTTGGACGCCAAATTGCTGCTAGGATCAGTTTCAAATCGTTCAGGTCTTAGAACCTTATCCATTTATTTTGTTAGTTAAATTGTTGTGAGCTAGGTAAATGACTTTATTTAAACTTAAATAGTTGCCTACAAATGTAAGGCTTTAACTAACAAAAACATGGCGGTCAAATAAAATAATATAAACAATATAACCCATAGTACTTCATGTAATGTTACAACAATAGCAACAATGATTTTTATTTAATAGATAATTACTGAGGCCAACGGCATTATTCGATATATTGCAGCCAGCTGAGGCCGAAGGCTGAAGCTGGCTGCAATATATCGAATAATGACCCGAATCAAAAGGAATTATTTTCGCCTGGAAGACTACGCTGCTGCTTGTTGGGACCGTATGACAATGAATCGATCCAACGTTACCCTAGACATTTGTGAGGACATGCATGTTATGTATCGTGATAGAACAGATTTCAGTTTAATTAATCGCCCTAAATTAAAATCTCCACAAGCGAAGGTCAATTATAGTGTTCTAGTTTATATATTATCATTAATGATAAGGTTAATTCAAAGAGCGTATTAAACTGGATAAACGCGGGAATAGAACTTATGGTGTGTTCTGCACATGCGTATATCTAGGATAAAAACCCACAAGCGGAAACGAAACCATTTCTCTATAAAGTTGAGCTGAAAGGACTCACAGTGACCGTTTTGGCAGTGCTTCAGGCGCCCGATGATATTGTATGAGGGGCCTTTAGCACTGTCAACTTCTCATCTTGACATGTTCACGTTATCGCGTGTACTTGTCAGGATGACGAAGGATTGCGAATAATGTCTGTGTGCACTGATACACGCCGCATTATTTTTAATAATGCTGTGTGCACGCTGCATTATTTTTAATAATTAACAAATATAAAACATTTTCCGTGTTGATATACAGTTATATCAACACGAGTGGAAATTGGGAAAACGAGAAATTGTGTGGAAACACGACGCCCGAAGGGCAGAGTGTTTTCATACAATTTCGAGTTTTCCAAATTTCCACGAGTGTTGATATAACTATATATCAATACGGAAAAATGTTTTGTATTTGTTTTATAATATAGCAATGTCAAAAGCCGAAGAATAAGAACAATTTCCGTGTTACAAGCGGCGGAAAATTCCCCGTGTTGACATGGAGTTATATCAACACGGCTCTTAGCCAATCAGCGTTCAGAATTTACAAATGCTATATTATAATTATAATGCTGTGTGAACGCTGCATTATTTTTAATAATGCTGTGTGCACGCTGCATTATTTTTAATAATTAACAAATATAAAACATTTTCCGTGTTGATATACAGTTATATCAACACGAGTGGAAATTGGGAAAACGAGAAATTGTGTGGAAACACGACGCCCGAAGGGCAGAGTGT